GCAGAAGAGTTATGTTTTTTGTTAATTTTTAAAGATTTTTGTTAAATTTAAAGAAATGTTTACAAAACTAATCAATAATTATGCATATTTTAATGAAATTAATAATAAATTGTCATTCAAGAGAAGATTGCAAAATGGCAGAGTTGTAAATAACCAATAGCAAAATGATGATGATGATGATGATGTATTGGTGTCGTCGTAATAGCATACTAATAAATGAGGACAGATGAAGCATGACAGAGGACATTAAACCTTCCAATTTTTCGTTTTTATCCTCCGCCCATTTCCATCATAAATATTAACCAAAACTGTGCTGTTGAATTTCCTTGCTAAATTAGCTCAAAATGCATAACATTTATCATTAATCATTTCATTTGTTTTTATTAAAAAAAAAAAATCTTACCATTACCATTTTCATCATGTGACAATTTTTTTTTTTTGGATATTTGCATTTGATATTTGTTGTCGATTGGATAATTTATTAAGAATATATATAATTTTTGTTTTATTTTAAATGTTATTCAAATTTAACTTAACATTGAGAAATTATTGATGTTAAATCATCCCATTTACATTTAATCATAAATTTAAATTAAGATTTCATAAAGTGCTTATGCAATGAGTGTTTAAAAGAAAGCAGTAAGAAATAATAATATGTAAAATTTTAATAAAAATTTTCGTTATTTGAAAATTTTGGAAAGAATATGGTTAGGTCAGATATAAAATTGGTCTTATTCATTCTCGTGATATTGAATCCAGGTGGGAAGTATTAGTTATTGGTGCCTTGGGCAGACTGTCACCGTTGGCTAACAATAGTGATTTTAACCCCCCCCATCCATGACACCATCCCACCCATTTATTACCAGTATCCTCTTTCTCCTTCCTACTCAGTTTGCTTTCCTCTTCTACTTCCCTCTCTCTACCTTTTCCTGAATTTTCTTCCGCTAATCTCTTTACTTTTAGGACATTTTATAACAATTTATTATACCATTTCACTATTTAACAATAAATCTTTAAACAGTTTAAAACCTTTCAAACTTTACAAATATTTGCGCTAATTAAATAAGTAAACATTTGCAAAGATTTTTTTTTTGTAACTTTTTTTTCTTTTTTCTTTCCATTTAATACTTAATGAAATTTGCTAACTTTTTTTATCATTGATTAATTAATTTTAATTTTTGATTTTTAAATATTTTTAAAAGATTGCAAAAATTACTAATAGCTTTAATGAATACTACGATGTTGTAAATTTTTTCTTTTTTTCATAATTTTAATGATTAAAATAACTCAGATTTTTTATTTACAGCATTTCAAAATTTACCATACTTGAATAGTTATTGATGGAAGGTAGGTAATGCATGACGAAGATTGCCAATTACCAAGCCTTGATTGGCTAACAGATTCCGTAAAACATAAATCATCGACATTACATTTTCCTGATCCTCTTGCATGTCATTTTTCGCAACATTCCAAACATCCGAAAATTCATCATAACCAGGTAAGTGTCTATGTGTATGTGTATGTTTTTTTTTTTTCTTTTTTACCGAATTAAAAACGAAAACTTTAGCAAGTAATTATGCTAACTTCATTCAATTTCTAATTAAATTCAATTTTTGATTTTTCAATTGGAAACGAAAATATGAATGGGAAGGAAACTTGTCCTTGTTCTAAAAAAAAAAAAAAAAAAGAAAATTTTTTAGCTATTACTTATAAATTTTAAAATTTATTTTATAATTTCGCAAATAATTACAGTTGAAAAGTACATGATAATGTAATTTTAAATATGGTTTGAATGTTATTAAATTACCTTACCTAATATTTCAATGCTTATATTATTGATATATTTGATAAATAAACAGTAAACGATATTTGAAGAAAAAAAAAAAAAAATTAAAATCCGCATCATCAAAATTTTCCACATTCCATAAATAATTAATATTATTTTATTTTCTATTTTTTATTTTTTTTTTTTTGAAATAAATATATCATACTCATCTTATCACTATCATCAAATTCTTCCTATCCATTCCAAAATTATTCATTCAAAATTTAATAATGTATTTAAATGAAATCTTATAATTAACATTTATGCTTCCTTTATTAAATGTAGTAGCATAGCAATATCCGTTATATATGCTCATTAGAGAGTATGCAATTACATCGAGCAATAAAATTATGGTCGATACACCTTTAATACTTTATGTTAACGATTATCAAGGATGCAATGTGACACTTAGCTATGTTGCTGCTACTACCTTTTAATATTATAATCGATATGAATAATCCCGGAAATTGTATACCTTTCAAAGAATCGTCCAAAATTTTTCATCGATTCGTCATTATTCATTTCATGAAATATTTCCTTTCATATATTTACATCATAATAAATTATTGTTTTGAAAAATATTCTAATACATTAAAATCATTAAATTAATGAAATTTTTTAAAAAATTGAAATTTTTTTTTCTTTCTTTTTTTTATTCAATTAAATTAATTAGTTATATTTATTTTTAAAATTTATTCAGAAAAGTGCACCAAAAGATGTCGATTTTTCAAAAGAAGCAATAAAGCCACCATATAGTTATGCTGAATTAATAACATTAGCAATGCGACAGCATGGACAAAGTAAAGTATTACTTAGTGATATTTATGATTATGTGAGAAAAAATTTTGCATGGTATCGTAAAACCGATATCACATGGCAGGTAAGAAAAAAAATGCTCCTCTATTTTATTCGTTTTTTTTTTTTTTTTTTTCAAGTATTATTGAATTGTAATTTTCAATTGAAATGAAATTTTCTTTCAATTCCTTTTCTTTTTTTTTTCCTTTATCTCTTAAAGCTTAATAAAATATTGATGAAAAAAAAAAGAAATTTTTAAGAAACCAGTTAGTATATTTCCTAAAGGTATAACAATTACGTGAAAGATAGAAGGAAGGAATGAATTGTTAAGAAGAAGAAGAAGACGAAATGCTTAAATGATAGTAATTACTCGTTTTTTGAACATACAAAATTTTGCTTTATTTGTTTGAAAATGTTAATTTTAAACAATGAAAATGAAAAAAAAAATTAATTCCTGTTGAATTAATTCCTGTTGTTAGTGAAATTAAAAGATGAATGAAAGAAATTTCAGAATTCAATAAGACATAACCTTTCATTGAATAAGCAATTCATTAAATTACCGCGTAAAAAAGGTGAAAAAGGAAAAGGCTCATATTGGATGCTCGATCTTAATGCGTTTGTTTCAAATTTTTTCTTTTTTTTCAATTTTTTATGCTCATCTATTTATTTTTGCAACGAAATTTGAAAAAAAAACAATTAATATAACTAAAGAAATCAATTAATATAGATTAAACAAAATTAAATAATTGATATAAATAAAAAATTAATTAATACAGATATATTGAAAGTTGAGTAAAATAAGCGGAAAAAAGGTGAAAATAAAATGATTAATTAAAATTTTGTTCTATAATGAAAATTTCAAAACGAGAATTATGGATGAGAAAAAAAAAGATGGCAAAATGATAATTTTCACATGAAAATGTAAAATTTAATATAAATTAATGAATGGCAAATGTTTTCAACAAAAATGATAATTTTTGATTGTTTATCACTTATAATGAATGATAATCAATAATCAAATAAAATATTTTTCACTTTAAAAAAAAAATGTCCATACAATATTATTTTAAATTGTATATAAAAAATATTTTAGTAAACCTAATTTGTTTTTTCTTTTTTTTTTTGAAAAAGAATTAAATTGTGAAATATCTCAATATGCTTAAATTTTTTTTTTTTCTCAAAAATTTCATTATTGAACAAATGTTCAGTTATTTGAAAGCGATCTATTCAATGTTTAACAACTGAGAGAAAAAAATTGAAAAAGCTTGTTTAAAAATTAAGCTTTTTTTTAAAAATTAAGCTTTTAAAATTAAAATTAGGCATAAAAAATATAATTATTTTTTATTTTTAGGATGGATTCATCTGGTTTAAAAGTGAAAAGGAATGGTTCAGCAACACATAGTAAAATGAAAGTTTTGGAGAAAGGCTGCAAGCCAACTTTAAATCCTGCAGTTTTATCATATTTAAAGAAGCAAAATGAGCCAAAAAGTCTGTTTCAAATTTCCTTCCGCCATTTCGTTTCACAAATAATTTTGAAGCAATTTAGCCATAATTTTTCAGAAATTTAAGCTTGTAGAATATTTGGCGTAAAAAAAAAAAAAAAAAAAAAAAA